GCAATGCATGGAAAGATAGGTAATACCTCCAGCGTAAACAAAACATGATGCGTGTTGAAGGCGTCGCTGTAACAAGACGAGAAGTAATACCTCACTGTGTCGTTAGACTGGTTCGGTCAATGTACACCAATCCACCTAGTTTACAGTATATGGGCATTTGTGGGAGTAAGCCTACAACGCAAATGAGTATATGTCTCTGACACCAGCAACAAGCGGCCCTTTTCAGGGCCAAAATGAGAATTCAGCAATAGAATATAAATACACACACACTCGATTTAATTTTCTTGACATATATCTGGTATATACGAAAAGCGGTATCAAAAGAAAAAAAAACCGGTACCTTGAACTGACATCAGCAACAAACGGCCCTTTTCAGGGCCAAACTAGGAATCCCAAAATGGAATATAAATACACACATACACTCGGTTAAATTTGCTGGACATATATGCGACGCATGAACGAAAACGATCTATTGTAAAAGATATGAATTGGACCTGCCTGTGATGCGTTGTCTGGGCGCCGTTTCGTCCTACAGTCAAATACAGAAACAAAAACTGATTTATTCTCTAATGCCAAGACTTGGTTGTTCGTGAATTTCAAGCATTGCGTATGTAACTCTTGTACTCTGTGGTGTGTGCTGTGGAAACATCTGAATTCGCGGTTTTAAGCTGTCGAGGTATTTCGCGAAAAATAAAACAATGGGTAACACCATACGAAGCAGTCAGGCCAATGTCTTGTTGATATCCGAAACTTGCAACCTCTGAAAGAACGGTTATTTCCTGTACGCCTACCAGTATTACACAACTTACCATTTGCAGCTCATTGTAGTCTGACACTTATTCACTGTACCCCTTCCTTTTTCCAGACTGTCTAGAAAGTTATACAAAAAGTTTCATCCCTTAGAAAACACAAGTCTTTGCCGTACGATCAAAGGAAAAATGTCCACATAGTAGTAACCAACATCGTTCTGACGTTCCTAAAAAAAGAAGTTTTAAAAAAACGAACACTGCATTGCTTAGTAGCAAATAATCAAGGTTTATTGATGTTGTTCCAGCACGATATTTTACCTTTGGTTTTGATGGGAAGATGACACGTTTTTTTTAAATCAAAAAATTAGTTGTTTTCGATGATAAACTGTCCATTTGACGACTAATTTATCATTTTTACAGTGATAACATTGTCGAAGCGAAGCTTTACCCATTCACGCTAACCACAATAAGCATCGTACTTTTGAATAGGCGTCAATGACTACGGTAAAATTCGTAAGATTGTGGGTCAGGAGTGAGTGTTGTTTTGACTTGGGTATTGTGTTTTATATTCCAACAGGACATTTTCTACTTCTCCAGTTATTGCAATGGGTATCCGAAAGCCCGTAACCTAATGTTATTGACATTGTTTACTGTCTCACTTCGTCATGTCCCAGTGTTACCGATTGTTAGACATAGACAAACTACTTAACGATAATGCTGTTTGTAAACCAACAAGCTTTGCAGATTGAATAAACATCTAGGGGATTTACATTTTCGTTTACTCAAACTGTGATTGACAGGCATTTTGCATACATTAGCCACCATTTTAAACTCGTGATTTTCACTGGTCGCGGCACGTTTCGACCGAAAATAACAACATTTATGCATCAAAAGCCCAACCAGATGAGTGTAATCGCTAGCATACACATTCATGCCCCCGTAGATATGTATTTGGAACCACAGCTTGATCTCCAAACATCGTAAATGGCATATTTCACGGAGCTCCGGCCACGATGTTAGCGTCTTGTTTCGGATTAGCATACTAAGACGGTGGCCATCTTGACCCTTATTTATAGTATCGAAAAAACTATTTTCTGTTTAGAAGGAATCGAAAATATCGGCTAAACCAGGTGACCAATCATAGCCATTTTTGTTAAATGTGCTTCATAGAAGCTAAATATCTATTATATTTGTGGTGTAAAGTGGTGTAACAGACACTTCCTGTTTTATCCAATTTGGCTGCCGAACCAATTGACTAATCCAAATTCTAAAAGTCACGTGCACCAGTTCACATTTGGGACTATTAGTATAGAGAATTTCAGACCATTCGGTTAACTAAAAAAATACAGAAGAAAGAAGGAAAAATGGACGATAATAATAGGGGCCTAGCCCTTTATGCTTGGGCCCCTAAAAATGGTATTACAGCTTAAGTTGACACCGCATTTGTAACCAATGATATTGCACATACGCCACATTGTCTACCTGCATATGCACAATAAAGATTATCAACAAAGTATGTAATAACTTCAAAATGACGTCATGAACTACACGCGGTAAATTAATAGCTGGTGCATATAATTATGGTCATGTCAAAACAGATAGTAGAGAGTGTCCCAATATCGATAGAATAATTTTAATCCAGTTTGTTTAATTCTAATATCCTGTTTATGACGTCAAAATAACCATTACTGCATGTATATACCTATCATCTTAGTAGTTTACATTACTAATTGCACAGATGCATAAAACTGTACAAAACATTTTTTTTTCTAAATCACACAGTGTTTGTGTAAGGGATGCAGCCAATGTTTATAAACAATGCTCTTCATTTCAGTCGATATTTTAATCAACATTACGTCTTTGTGATTGCCTGTATGTATGCTCGATAGATGGATGTATTATGTTTCAATGCTGAATTACTAATAATTACTGTTTAAAACTTGCACAACAAACTCTTTCTCATTATACTGCACAGACAGTTCTTCGGGACATTGGCGTTGAATATCGCAGGCACTAACTTGATATGCAGCTTCTGTTATCACATAATACACATCCCGGAAATTTCATATAGTGATACACCTCACCAAAATGCATCACTTATATATTGAATGATCTCAGCGAATGAATGATCCTTGGCACTAGTTCATGAAATAGGCATCGCCGGGTGTCAACACAATCGACAACCTGCGGGCCCTTGTGCCCCCAAGTAGCGAGTTATAATTTTATGCCACCATGTATTCTACGAAAGATAGATAAGGTAAATATGATATACTCATGTGAAATTTCGTATTGTCTCTGGAGAATAATGCTCAGTCACCACATTTAAGTTGTTGCATTGGACTCAGTCGGTTTTGTTCTGCATCTCGTCTAGGAAGTGAACAAGAACTCCCCTGAGGGCTAACATCCATAGAACGTGATGTTTTTTCTTCATTCATTTCATATGTCTGGTGATGTCACGAGGCACAAGGACACATGAAGTGTGGCATGCAGAATCATCTATTTAAAGAATTCGTGTACCCAGAGCTTGCACCTACCAATACTTCAAAAGGGCAGAGATGATGCACCATCACATGGTGCAGGGTTCCGGGCTGTTCATCTCAATCTGGTTATCCCTGACATAAATTCTACTGGGAGCAAAGTTGATTAAAAAAATATCAACCTAATTTGTAGCAAAAGTTTAAAAAAATAGCGACCGGGAACAATTTCTGTTATCAAACCAGCTAGAAATAATCAAAGCAAAAGAAGTAATCGGAGAAAAAAGCTCTGTGTCACTGACGGTGCAGCGGTAAACTTGTTTTCAGGAGATATTTATAAAAAGGTTTTGTTTTAGATCGTCAGATTACCTAATCATTATGTGACTAAATTACTTGTTGAAATGCAATAACAGTTGATGAATAGTATTCATTTGTACATACAAATATTCAATCCCGTAATGATATACTTTCCAATCGCAAAAAGCTCAATCTTAGTTCATCCATACAACAAGCCATTTCTTAGTCAAGAGTTGGCTTTTGACAGCACTCATTGGCCAAATTTCACAAAATGTTCAGTTTGTTCTATGAGAAAGTACTAGTAATACTTGCTCGAGCAGTATGTATTTCAAACACATGTCAACTATTTATTTCATGCGATCATACTATAATTATTTTTTGAAATATTGTCCATTTAACAGACAAGAAAACAAATACACAAATAAAGAATATGTAAATAATTTAGGCAATCATGAATTTGGAAATGAGTGTTCTTTCTGGTAACCGTCGCTCGACATCGTGTTCGGTATGGGACTCATGGCGACGTACACAGCGCTGCGCAACGACCACTGCCCTTTAAGATATAGATTGTTATTTACTGACCGGCGACAATTCTATACATAGTAAAAACACTTCTTGCTTAATGAAGACAGTCATAGTACGTATGAATTAAAATAACTGAACGATAAGGTAACAACGGTTAACAGAAAACAAAAAAAAGACTGTTTGCAATATTGTTGTATTGCTAATTACAAAATTCTATTAGAGTTCACAGGATTACTATATTCATGTGAGCAATGGATATAGCCCATGTTTGGTACATATCAGTCATGGAAACAAATTTTAATGTCTCCAGTATCCGGCAACGCATGGACCAAAAATGTGTCTAACTACTCAAATAGTTTCTCCCCCTGATAAATGAATGACAGTGTATCAGAGGGCATTGGTGTGCTGTATAATTGCTGGACGGTTGAATGCATTGTAATATCAAGAGCTGGCTGACTTTTATTACGTTTCACTTTGTCAAGGTTTATGGCGGATTAGCACACTTTGGCAAATAAAGTGTGTATCAATATATGGCCGCTTTGTATACAGTGACTGGTTATTTCTTTATAAATTATTCAGTGCAGCGGATTCTGGGCAAGTTACATGTTCACGTTGAACGTTGCGAATCATTGTGACTTAATTCATTAATTTGTCTATATTGTTGGAGTCACTGTCATGGGTACTGGTCCACTCTGTTTACACGGTAACATACATACATGTGATATGTCATTTGAAATCAAGTAGTGGCCCAGCTGTTGAAATAAACTTATTTATATATTAGTTTGATTGGTTGGTTTAATCCTTATTTAAACTCGATACCTTCATATGTAAAATACCCCTTTTCATGAAAGTCGAGTGTAAGAGAAATTAAATGAAAAGAACGGATAAATGACTATAAACTGAAAGTCTTTTTGATTATAATATTATTTTTAAAAATATATATTTTCTGACAGAATCATAAAAATAAACACAAATTCTGAATCTCTGACAGGTTGGATAAATAATTGTACTCCTCAGCATCTTCAACTGATATAGAATGCTTGTAAAACATAGTTCTGGCTCTAGATCCTGTTAATAGTTTAGTTTGAATGAACGTAATAGCCTAGACGGAATATAGCTATAAAACATGCTACTAATATAATTTGGGGTTAAGTTATGAATTACCTTATAATATGGCTTAACCGAGTTAAAAAAGTTTTAACTCAACAAGTTACATTGAAGCTGTTTATACATGAAATAAGAGGACAGACAGAAAGTATAATTATGATCATAATAATACTTTCTGTAAATTCTCTAATGCACTGGTATTGTGGCCAGTCGTAAAACTCCAAACATTAGAACAATAATTAATATGTGGTAATATAAAACAATTATATAATAGCTTACATGAATAGAGGAGGAGAAAAAGTCTAATACGTGATAGTAAAAATAGTTTAGTGTGTTTCTCTATGGTAAAATTAAAGTTTCAAATTACCTTTGGCCGCACTTCAAAGAGCTGTGGTGGTAGAAATGTAGGAGTTAGATGGGTCACAATGAGTCGTGGTGAAGCCATTTCATTAAGAATTTCATAGCCTGGTCTTTGACCTGGGATGTGAAATTCAGGATAGATTGCTTTGTCCAATGGTTCCTCTCCCGTAAAGACGCCACTGCACGAGAGTATATTCCAAACTATCTCAGTTATCCAGCTTGTGCCTAAATATATATGAAGTACAACTATGTTATTTAGGCGTAGGAAACACCAGTTTTACGATGGCTGTTTCGATTCAGTTTAAAGTCTCAGACAAGGTCAACATAAGTTTCCTATCAACAAGTCATTATCTAATTTCTTATTTTTTGACTCTGGCCACTGAGAAACAAGAACCACATGTATTTTATTATTTCACTGCTTAAAATACTGAAGCTTTCAGGTCAGGTGCTTTGCGGAATTAAGGCCACTACCATCATGGCCCATTTCATTATGTAAGAAATCACCAGCTGTAACGCGTTCATAACTCATCTAGCTATTTTTTGATAAACAGATTGCATATATATTAACCAATTTTAAGCATTTTCACTTGTTTCTCATGTACCATTCAACAGATTTCAATGAAACCTGGTACATAGATGGTCTGGGATAATGCACATACCTGATTAGTTGTTGGTTGAGTTGAATAACACCCATCACATTTCAATGAAGTGAAAATAATGAAAATAAGAGTTGAAATTCCCATGTATTTATGAAGTTATACTTCCAAATGCCGCATTTGCTCTTTTAGCAAATGTGCTCAAATGCAAATGACAAACGCAAATCTGGTCACAATAAGACATACGCAATGAATTTGCATGAAATAAATACAATGTGCTTCTAATATTGCAAATACAGTATTCCTTATTTGTACTTCATGCCCTCAATACTACTAACAAAAATGATATACTCACCTGATTTAGCATAAGTACATATCCATATATCGTCTGGTCTCACTTCAAAATTCACCATGGCTTCCAAATTTGTTTCGAGGTACATGCAGTGAAAACCTCATACCTTTGTAAATGTGTGTATTCGCCGGGTATTCCTGGGCATTATATGCAGGATTCATGATAACTAAGAACAGCTGTAGACCTGATGAGGGAAATATGAAGACTTAGTTCTTCTATGTCATGTTGGTATTGAGAGATTGCATGTACCATTACTGTGTAACTAGTGGAGTCCATACCGTGGGTTCACGCCTTACAAATTGTTCAGACAAGTGACGTGTTCCATGGGTCACCAATTATTAAATATATTGTAAACAAATTTAAATTATTCAATTCATAAACAGTACTTTCAATAAATATACCATAGTTTATACCATACCATGTGATTATGTAGACGTTTTCTGTTATATCAAGTATTATAATATTATATTAAAACTTATTAGCGTGTACACGCAGCTACTATACAATATTATTGGACATGTCGTGGTGTCTCGACTAACTCTCAGAAATTCTAATGTTTAAAGGGCAGTGGTCGTCTCATGGCGACGTACACAGTGCTGCACGACAACCACTGCCCTTTAAGATATAGATTGTTATTTACTGACCAACGACAAATCTATACATAGGAAAAATACTTTTTGCTTGATGAAGAACTCATAGTCGTATGAATTAAAATAACTGAACGATGAGATAACAACGGTTCACAAATTGTGTTTCAATATACGGCTGTAAATTGACAAGGACATTTTATCTACACATCTGATTTCAGCAAGGCATAATTTGTGTTATTACTATCTTGTTTTTATTACGCTGAATACAATTAGGTAAAGGTACATACCGAACTAATTATTAAAATCAGTTAACGATATTTCAAAACTGCGTGGATATGTATTGTCTTATGTCATCTTTTGACGGCGATTGTTTTGATAATACATGAATAAATGAGAAGAAATGCATGGAATACACGAATGTAATGATGTTAAACAAAACATCTGATATATAGGAGCATGCACTAACGCCCAGTTTTTTAGCAGTGTTAATTTATTCTTTTTTGTATACTAAATTAATCTGTTTAATCATTGTTAATAACATTCGTTTGGATGACATATAATTTGTCTATTTTTGAGACACAATTAACCTTTATCCTACCAGTCCCGTGTAATTATACATTGAATTAACCAGAAGAGTCAATCTGCAATCTGCAGTAAATCTGTAATTTGCGTACGCTTACTAGGAATTATATATAACCTGTCCTGATATTTATATTATTACTGATGTGACCTTTATATAATCTATTTTTAAATATTTTAATGACTTGGCTAGAACCAGCATATAATCTTTATTTTGGGGATCAATGTTGCTAGTATTTATTATATATCTATTTTGGCACACATAGAATGTAATTTCTAGGTCTTGTATACAATCTGTTATTGTGGAAACATTTAAAGCGGGTGGTCGTCACCTGCGCATGCGTCATATGGTCATAGCGTGTTATTGTTTAAAAACAAGCAAGGTTTTGAAAACAAATAGAATGTGTATTTATGCACTCAAATGGCAATAATTGTTCACTGCCTATAAATAAATAAAATTTATACTGTAATTTAAATTTACTTTATTACAAATGTATATGGTAGTAGTATATGGCGCTAAAAAATAACCGTATCAACATCGCTGTTTGATATCCCCATAGATTGTACAAATAGATAGATTGAAAACTTGAAATGGTATTCCTGCCGCTATAAATGGCTACAATTTTGAGCAGGAAACACATCAATTTCCTGAAGGTAGACAAATGCCAACAAACTAGACAATAAACACAACATGTATAAAATAGTCACTTTTAAGTCTACTACAAATTATTTCTCTATAAATGTCACCTAATGCAAATAGTTAATGCGGGGGAGTCGTCCGTCCGTCACCTGGCCTGACCTTTGCATAAATGATATGTTGATCTGAACTTTAGGGCAACGGGCGTGTGCATGCAACGATGGGGGGACGGTACTGACTGAAGTGGAGAGCACAAATACAGTCATGCTTTCCATTCATGGGGTAGTCGTAAATATTGTCGCACTTCACATGGGTGTTTTTATGTCTCTTGGGATGATGTGTAATGGCAAATTTGAGACGTTTTGGTGGTGACATTGACGCAAAGAATATAGCCGATAAAACAGCTGCTAAAAAAATAAAATTGAGAGGCACTGGAATGAATCAAATTCATTCGCTAGACTTATCACCCACTTCCCCGACGTCTGCCTAGCTTTGCGTGTATCAGACACAATTAACATCAAACATATGCGTGATCTAAGCTAGACGCGCAGCGAATGATCTCCAAGCACCACACAACCGAATCCATGGGACAGGTACAAAAGGTTACAAAAAAAATAAGGCAATATATACATGCCATGATTATCACAGAATTTTTATGGGCTGCTAGTTAAACACATAATAGATACCGGGATGATTACGGCAATACATACAAATATACAACGCTGAAGGCTCGTCATCTATGTCTCAGAGCAGGGACAAGACTCCGGTCAGCGCGAGACCATGATTGAGAGTGATCACATGCAGCATAAAGAGAAAGAGAAAAAA